CTATGGTTAAATAGCAGGACAGACCAGGTTTTATAGCCTTGGATGGCAACTGGTCTACTGCAGAAAAGATGGCAACCTACTGCCGGAAAAAAATCTGCCTCATCAGTCATGTATCGAAAGATACATGATCACCTAAGCGTGTAACACATAACTGACTGATTTAATAAAAAAAGAAGCAAATATTTTTTATTTTTCTCTATCCAATCTGAAAGAAAACTTGTTTTATTACAAGAACAAGCACAAACGACTTTTTTTTTTAGCTTCATGGAATTATTTTTGAGCAATTAGGAACAAATTTTTGGCATGTTCACACTTAATATAGCGCAATTTTTTTTTCCAGTAAAAAAAAAAAAAAAAAATTCACAAGATCTCGAAAATTTGAAACTGACCCACCAAAAAGTACTTTCCATAATGTTTGTTTTCTAATAAAATTACCTATTCCGCTTATACTAAATTTATTATGAATATTTATTTTAATAAGCAGTTAAAATTCCGTTTTAATCGTATAATTCCCTCATTTTTATTTTTAAGAACGGGGTAGCGAGCTTCTGCTTTCAATTCGGAAAAAACAAAAAAAAACATTTTGTGGTACCTATGTTTTTGTTTTTTTTAAATGTGAAAACGTTTTGGAAGAACGTATTTACCAAGATTGTTTTTGTTTTTTTTTCTACAGAAACTTTTCGCACTGAAACACACACAGAGGAAAGAGGGTGTCGTGGCATGTTGTGAAGTGGTTAGTTCCGAATTAGTTTAAAAAAAGAAAAAAAAAAGTTATTTCCCGACACCCACTAAAAGTTTCGACGCGGGCTTTTTTGACAAACATCTCATTTCGTAGTCATCTACTAATTATAAAATTTGCGGTGTGGTAATGGTTGCTAGATCGGTGTACTGTACAAAGTAAAAGCCTCCTGGTCTTTGTCAAATAACAAAACAAGCAACCTAAAGGCAGCAAGGAAAAAAGAAGGTGATATATGTGTAGAAAACTAAGATCAAGAGGAGAGGAAGAAGATGAGACTAAGAGAAGAGAGAAGATGATGTGTTGCATCGTGCTCATCGCTAACTTAAACACTTCTTCGGTATTTTCTTTGCCCTCCTTGACCACCCACTTTACAGCCACATTCAAGAAAAGAAGAAGAGAAAGGGGACTGATGCCCCAGTCCCACATTTTTTCCTCTGTACCTGAAGTAAATTATTTTTTTACTTTTATATCCAAACAATTATGAAAATAACCTGACTTAAACCATGGGTAAAAAAAATTCCTCCTTTTAATTCGCTTTTAAATCTTTATCGATTACATTTCTTGGATTCCAATGAAAACAATGTATGAATAAAGAAAAATAGAATTAAAAAAAAAAGGCTCATGCATTTTTTTTAACTAAAAAACAGAAAAAAGATACTAACAATAACATTTTTATTTTTCTAGTGTTTTTTGTTACGTTTAAAAAAAAAAAAAAAGGTAATAGGAATGTTTTTATTTAGGAACAGGACTTTTTTTTTTTAAAAAGAAAAAACAGTTGTCCAAATGGCTTGATTTGTGTAATTTTAGAAAACACACAAAGTAAAAAAGCATAACTTTATTAATGTAGTTAGCGGGTAAAAAGTTTTTAGACGACCACACAACCAAACAAAAAAAAAAACCGTCAAACTAGTTTTAAAAAATATTTAAAGTTTGATCTGAAAAAAAAACTAATTCAATTGTGGCTAACTTACATTGCATTTAAGAGGAATTTTACAAATTGTTTTCTACAATTTCCAAAAAACTGCTAAGTAGTGCTAATAAGGTTGAGAATTATGTATTGGACATATCGTGGAAAAATGAGCCCCGAGTTGATATTTATCCGCACGCCCACACGAAAGGAATACGACACAAGGCCTGGTTTAAACTGGGAGTCCCACGCATAAGTAGTTAGACAGGCTTCAATTTTTTAAATCAACTTACATAACTCCACCCAAACTGTCAATTTTTATGATTTATGACGATCTTTCTCCTCCTACCCACAGAGAAGGGGAAGGTATTCTAAGTAAAAACGTGGAGAGGGATGTTAAAACCACTTTTGTAAAATTTTAATTTTGTTATTGAAAAAAAAAAAAAAAAAAAAAAAAAATGAAAATTATATTTGGGGAGGAAGACGATCGGTAAAAACAAGTTATTTTTTTTTTAAATGGCAAAAACTTTTTTTTTTTCTTTTTTTACATACTAGACTAGAGACAGACATACCGACCACGATCAGGAAAAGATTTTTAGCTCAGATTATTAAAAAAAAAAAAGGGGGGGGGTGAATTCCCGTGATTGCTATGTTGACGAGCTTTTAGGACAGAATCTTTGATTTTTAGTACCTCCTAACTGTTTTCTAGCCACCGAGCGAAAAAAAAGGGGAACAACGTGAAAATAACCACCACGTGCGAATCCACGCTTTTCATTCTTAAAAAAAAAAAAAAAAAAAAAAAAAAAAAAGTGAGGGGTCAACTAAAAGAGTGGGAGGAGAAATTTCAACAGAAAAGTGGGGAAGTCGAATCGAATGTAAACTTCTTAAGTTTTATTTTTAAAACTTTATTTTTATCGTTTAATTAAAACAAAAACAAAAAAAAAAACGTTTTTTTGCAAGTGTCTTTTTAGAAGTATTTTTGATAAACTGGATTTTAAGTAAAACAAAAAGGACTTTTTTTTTTTAACGTTAAAAAAAAAAAAAAAAAAAAATTAATAACTGTCTTTTTCCGTTTATAATCATTATTTAATTTTTTCCTGTAAAATTTTCGGCCGGGGGAAGTTATTTTGTTTTCTACATATTAATTAACTTACTTTTTTATCAATACAATTAAAAAATTTAAGATTTAAAAGAAGGATTTTTTTTAAAGATTCAAGCGTGAACAGAACACTATTTCAGTTTTTATTTTACTTACACTTTTTTGTAAATAACGTATTCGTAGAAAAATGCCAACTGAAAACTAGTTCAAAGTTGGTTTAAATCATGAATGATACTAACTCATATTTTAGATTTATAGAACGTTGGCTAAAAAGAAAATTTCAAGCTAAGTTAATTACTTTAAAAACCAAACATTAGTCACCGAAACAAATATCAATCAATGCATAGTCACGCAAAAAGAAAAATCGAATAGCATTTTTCACTGAGGTAGCATTCGCCTTTTCTATCTTTAGCCTAAAAATTCATGAAAATTTAATTTTATGAAAAAAAAAATGTAGAAGTATAGAATTATTGCTTTTTCAATAAAAAGCAAAAAAATGATCCCGATTTTTCAACAAATAGTAATACGCAACATCGACAAGCATGACAATTTTGCTAGTTTAAAAAAAAATGACAGAATATAAGCTTGGAATTAATCTAAAATTAATTGTCAGGACAAATAAGCACTCAGATATCAAATTATCTCTATTTTTCTTTCACAAAATAGCGATCGAATCGACCTATCGAAGATCTAAAAGTAAAATGAGAATCATTCTCCAAGCCGCCATGTGCACTATTTTTTCCTTCAAGTTGATGTATGAATTAAACGACTGAGAAAGGTCTTCATACACTGATATCTATATGGGTCATTTTAGTAGTTGCAACATCGTCTTTTTACTGCAACATAGAGGAGAAAAGAAAAAAATCGAAAGAAAACAAGACTGTTCTTTCGTCGTCCCTAGACAAACTTGAAGGCATGAACAGTGAAATTCTTAACCTGCAATGTGTGTGGAAGTAAATAAGTGCTTTATAGAAAAATAAACATTTGACAAGTAAACTTTGCGCGATTTTGGATATTTTTAAACGGAGATGTGAAGGTTTTATTAACGTAACCAGAGCGTAAAAATAATACCAGGATTCACAGTAAGATGGGTGTTAAAACAGAAAAAAAATCTACTGGTTCAAGCCAGGTAGAAGGCAAGTGATGATGAGAGCCATAAGCACTTATTGGTATTCTACACGCAACAAAAATATTAATTATTTCATTTAATATGTAAAGTTTATGTGATCGAACAAATCAACAAAGAATCAAAAACAAATAATTATCAATATGCTATTCCTAAGTTAAAACAAAAATAAAAACAAACAGGAATAATTTTCTGAAACTTGTTAGATAGCAATGTTTTTGCAATTAAAAAGAATAATACAAAAGTTAGCCGGCTAAACAAAAAAAAAAAGGGAAATTTTATCTTTAAGTATTGTAACATTGCACTTTCAATAAAAATTTAAATAAAATGTTAATTCACAAAGCTAAATATTAATTTTACCGACTAAGAAAAACTTTTTTCCGACTTTCTGCATGAAGAAAAATAAAGTTGAAAGAAACATATTTCAGTACTAACGGAGAAAATATAACCACTGAAAAAAAATAATAAATACGAACAATATATATGTACATATATTAAAGTTTAAACAGGATCCAGAGAAGAGCGACAATTAGATTTTTTCATTATTTATTTTATGAAAGATTTTTTTTTTAAATCAAGTTTAACGTCGAGAAGCGAAAACACTGTTTTTCGATAGACGAAAGGTGAGTGAGTGAGTGAAGAAAGTGATAGATAGTTAGATTACGAAAGGGGGGATGATGAGAAACAAGAGGGAGTTGATTATGCGTACAACCTGACAGACAGGAACAGAGATGAAACACAAATAAATGAAAGATGCCGGTCCGAAAAACTATTAGGGAAAAGTCATGTTAAGAGATCAAGATATAAAACTGGAAAGAGAAAGACACGTTAAAGTGCTTAAATATAGGTATAAAAATTAAAAGACTTCTCGTACATGATCTATCTCGATGATGGGAGAAGCAAGATAAAAGGCTTCTATAGAGGGGATGAGTGAGTAGGACGTAATAACGAAGAGAGAGAGGGAATATAAGGTAAAAAGAGAGAGAAAGCAATGAAGAGAGGATGTGTGTGTGATCGTCATCATCTGTGTCAACTACTCAACCGGGCTGGTTCCTTTTAAGAAAGAAGCTTAGTGTCGATTTGCATGTAGGACCAGCTTGGGAAAAAAAAAGGCATTCAATATACTCACCACTTTGAGATCGAGTACTCCATCCTTGGCCTCTTGTAGCAAGGACACAAACTTGGTGGTCAAAAGACCGAGGCTTTTTTCGTGCCTGCTAGGCGTGTGGTCGGCAGCGGCCATCATACAGCCAGCGGCAGCAACGGTTGGTTCGCACTGCATGCTGGGTAAAATCTTACTACTGCTGCTGCTGCTGCTGGATCTTCCTTCATCCCCTCCTTCCACTTCCGCTGCCATTACCACCTCACTGTCATCACCTCACTTTTCCTTATTCTATTTCTGATAGGACCTTTTCTTCAAGGAAGGGATTCTCTGATACTCAAAATAACAAAACTGAGGAAGAAAAATATGATATATATACAAACTTTTATTTATATATAATTAATATTTTTACAAACAAAAATTATTTAAATTACCTCAATTCCTTCCCTCTAGCTTAATGATCTGATAAGGTTTTAAAATCAACTTTATTTTCTTTTATTCCAACAGGTGAAGAATTTGTAAATGAATGGACATCATCATAACCACCACCACCACCACCATCATCATCATATTATTATTATTATTATTATTATTATCTTCATCATCATAATCATAATCATCTTCCTTTTCTCTCCTTTAATATTTAAAGGCAAGGATTGCTCAAAACTAATTATTTACATTTGCAATTTAATAATATGAACATAAACATATCCTTCATCTTGAGTATATATAATCTTTTTCATGTGTGTAAGAAGTTTCTGGTTCTTTTCCTACCTTCTACCTATTTTGCTTAATCTTGACTTGAATATTGTTAAAGGCTCACTCTTTTTTTGCCATTTTTAAAGGGATAAATTTTTATACTAGAAATGAAAGTATTTATGAATAATGCATATAAAAACCTAAATTACAGGTACAAAATGTTTTTAAAGTAAAAGCATTTCATTGACTCCTACTGCTACTATGATATATACTACTGCTGCTTACATCTGAAAAAAAGAAAAACCTTTTGTAGTGGTATCTTCATGAAACATGAGGGGATGCTGAAAAGTTAATGACCCGACCCACTTCCCAAAATCTGAGCAAAAGACTAAGCATCAAAAATTTATTTTTGGAAGTGCTTCTGTGTCAGTCCAAGAACTTTTTCAGCATCCTCACATAACCACATGACTATGTTAAAGAATAAAAACAAATAATGCAATCAAATTTTGTATGAGAGCATTAGTTTTGTTTGTGCTAACTGACAAATGGATCACCTTAAATGATATACACCTAGATACCTGCAAAATTTTAATCTGCTACTACCCTCAACTAAATCACTAAACTGTGGTCTGTATATTATACTCTTTTCTTGCAGTTTTTTTTATGATAAATGAAAAGACTTATGAAAGCTATGGAAAAGAATGAATTAGAAAAAAGTACACTTTTATGACAGGATTGATATGTTTTCTTTGGTAAAATTCCCTAGAGAATTCTAAAACTGAATAAAAAGTAATAATTTAATATTGAAAATCTCTGAATGTTCACTACCTAACTAGCCTGTGTGTTAGCATATCTTACTATTACTAGACATACCACTAAAAAATGAGTACTTAGTCTTTTTTAATATCAGGTTGTTTTATTTTAAGTTTACTATGTGGTAAAAAGAATTTAACTATCTCAGATTTTCACTACTTTTCTTTACTATTTGAACAATTACTACAATTTTTACTCTTTTCTTCACAAATTATATAAATGACAGTAATTGTTAGAAAGTTTTAATAGTGAGAAACAAAAACAAAAGTCTTGAAACAATATATTGACTTTCAAATAAACCAAAGATAAAGAATTCATAACTAAAATAGAGGCCAATGAACCATTTAATTAATCTGTTCACTTTATATTTTTTAAATGTTCAATGGTATCTATGATTCATTGATTACTCCTGGTGTTATATAAATCGCTTTTTGTTCAATATCTTTTCATGTTAAAAATTTTATGTGTTTAATGTAACAGTGAAATGAAAATATCACTTGAAAGAAAAAGATCAACAACAGATCAGCAAAGACAGCAATGACAAAGCCTATTTCAAGACCAAGTTGGAGCAAGACAATCACTTAAAAGACAAAGTTATTTGAGGGCTTCACATTAAAGGCTTGAACAAATAAGAAACGTAGGAATAAAGGAACTGATTAATTAAACAGTTCATTTTGCTTGGGAACTAATTTTGTCTAAATGCAGATAAATATTTTATTTGTATAGATTATTAAAATGACTAAGAGAAGTAATCACTCATAAATTTACTAACTTGATTTACCTCCCTTCCCACAACAGATAGTACAGGAAATATATAAATAAATACACATTGATGATTATCAGTTTGATCATAAGCATGTATACATATCTTTAAAATATTGCTACAGTTTCACCATTAACTCTTAATTCTTAAATCTAGAAAATATCAGTTTTGTTGATACATTAATTTGTCATTGCCTGTCTGAAAACTTTAAAATCATTATCTTTAGTTGTCTCAATTTTTTTCTCAGCTTTCTATTTAATTTAATTCTAATACACTTAGAAAGAAAATGGATACAAAATAAAATTTTAAGAACTGAAAATAAAAGAGAAATACTCATTGTGTATTTGTCAGTAATATCTGAATTGTCATAAAATAAATGTTCATTTGTTTCCCCTGAAAAGAAACCAAAAGTATATAAAATTAACAGGAATCCCACCAACCAAATAAAATTAAAAATTAATAAACTTATCATTGTTACTAATGCCAAACAGGACAGTTTAAAACTTTCTAAAATTGTGGATGATTATAGGCCTGGTTACATATGTGGCACTATAAAAACACACAAACAAAACTATCTTCTCCATTCTATTATATCACAAATTCCTACTCTTGTGCATCAATTAACAAAAATTATCAATCAACTTATCACACCATACATTTCCAGTAAATATAACATAAAATCAACTCTTGAAGTAATTCAAATTCTAAAAAAAAAAAAAACTTCCTAGTGCGGCTCAGGGAGCCAACTTTCCTTGCAGTGGACGAGGCAATTGCCTCAATGTATTTATTCCATCTCAGGTCAGCAGTCAACGTGAGACCGAGAAGCCACAGAAAGTTGCTCTTGAGAAGTTGAGCGTCAGACATTCTAATGGAGCGAATGGAAGGATTTCTGTGGTGATTAATAGAGAGCAGTTTTGTCTTAGAAGCGTTGAAGTTGACCAGCCAATTCATGCCCCAGTTCACAATCGATTGGAGGTCCTTTTCAAGACGCACGGCCAAGCAAGTTTTGTCAACGAGACTAGATTTGTTTTTGAAGCAGGAATAAATTGTGGTGTCATCTGCGTAGATGCCAACTTGGGAAGTTATTGCTTCAGGAAGGTCATTTATGTAGATAAGGAATAGAGTGGGACCTAGGATGGAACCTTGAGGAACACCTGCGTTTGTGGGATAGGAAATGGAGGAGAATCCATTAAGAACGACCTTCAATTTACGATTTGACAGGAATGATCATATTAGGTTATATAATCGACCCGTAATGCCATAACCTTGGAGCTTGCAAAGAAGGCCAGCATGCCAAACCCTATCAAATGCTTTGGAGACGTCTAGTACCACGGCTCGGGCTTCCCCGTTATTTTGGAGAGCTCGGTAGACTGTTTCAGTGATGGCCGTAAGCACATCAGCTGTAGATCGGGCAAAGCGGAAACCATATTGCTTGTCTGAGAGCAGATTATGGGATGAGGTGGTTAACCACCCGGTATTGATTAGGGGCTTCGATGACTTTGCTGAAAAAGGGAAGGAGACTGATAGGATGGTAGTTGGAAGGGTCAGAGGGGTCGCCGGAGTTCTTGAAGACAGGAACGATCGAAGAGGACTTCCAGCAGTCAGGAAAACAAGATTCCTTGAGGCAGTAGTTGTATAGTTTAGAAAGGGCAGGCGCCAGTTCAGGCGTGCATTTCTTCAAGACAATGGCTGGTATCCCGTCTCCACCACTAGCCTTGTTGGGGTCTAAATTGGAGATAACGCCCAGTACCAAAGATGGGGTTATGTTTAACCCATTCAATATGGCCTCAGTTCTAAGAGGGAAGTCGGGTATGGGTACACCGGAAGAGTCAAGCGTCGAGTTGAATGAAAATTTCCGAGCAAAGCATTCAGCCTTGTTGGTAGAGGAGGTCAGGACTTTGAACTAGTTGAATAAAGGAGGTATAGAGGGTTTGCAATTGTTCAATACGCTCTTGCAGAGACGCCAATAATCTTTGGAGCCAAATTTGTGAGATGCAATACGTTCCTTCATCCAAGCCGCAAATAGTGACTTAGCATCGTTGAGGACAAGCTTACATTCGTTACGGGCAGAGGCAAAGAGATGTCTATTGCAGTCAGACATGTCGCTACAGAATAGGTGGAAGTAGTGGTTCCTATGGGCGATGGCGGCTGAGCAAGCAGCCGAGAACCAGGGGGAGGAGCGCGACTTGACCCTATATTTCCTTGATGGGATGAAAGTGTCGATTCCAGCTTTAACCCAGGAAGAGACCTCAGAAGCACATTCTTGGACAGGGAGCTTAAAGACTCCATCCCAAATAACTTCCCAGTAAACAGTGACAGACAACAAATAATAGTTTTATGTGTTTCCACACAATCATCAGGTAGTCAGTAACTGTTTTTCATAACCTCCTATATATATATATATATATATATATATATATGCTCACACACATGCACACGCACATATATATATATACAGTCATATATATATATATATATATATGACTGTATACATACACACACACATATATATATATATATATATATATATATATATATATATATATATATATAATAGGTGTAGATAGGTTCAAATAAGAGTAAATAATTTCTAATAGTAGTAGAGAGGTTCACCCAACATTTAGTTCACACTGCTTCCTTGTCTTTTAAATATGGGTAGAGGTTTTATCCCTCGTTTCCTGTTTAAGATTCCTTCTAAAGTATTTTCCTTCTCTATCACTTCCAGTAGCTGCTTGCATCTGAGTGGCATTATCGCCTTGCTTGAGGTGAATTGATTAAAAAGAAAAATGTATGAATCATTGTTGTTGTAGAGTGTCTTTTCTGAAAAAAAGTTGTTTGGTTCTCTTTATGAGTGGGTTTCTGTGTGACTAATTAGGCCAACACACTCTTCTGCAAGTAGGGCATC